CACACTAAAAACATGTTAAAACATGTTAAAAACACACTAAAAACACACTAAAAACATGTTAAAAACATGTTAAAAACACACTAAAAACACACTAAAAACATGTTAAAAACATTTTAAAAACACTCTAAAAACATGCTAGAAACATTTTAAAAACACACCCACACAAACCAGGAAGGTATGGAGAACAAATGCTAAAAACAGGCTAAAAACGTGCTAGAAACACACAAAAACATGCCTGAAATACACTAAGAGCTCATTAAAAACACCCCCAACAGACCAGGACGGCAAAAATACACTAAAAACAGGCTATAAATACATTAAAAACACACCCACATGAATCAAGATGGTGCAGAGAAAACAGGCTAAAAACAGGTTATAAACATGCTAAAAAAGTGCTAAAAAACATGCCAAAAACACAATAAAAACACTGTGGCGGTGGACTCCACAGTTTTGTAACGCCGAGGTCGTCGCTCTTGTTTCTTTATGAAGTGGTTTTAGATTTAAAACGTCACGATTAGAACAGAACCTTCCACAGACGTCAGAAGTGTCCAGACTCCAGGACTGATTTAACATTTACACATTTATCTATTCACCTGTTTGACCTCTCTGTGACCTCTCTGTGACCTCTCTGTGACCCTCGTGTGACCCCCGTGTGACCCCTGCCCTCCCTCAGTCCCTGGAGCGGTTCCTCTGGACTCCATCGTGGGCAGCAGCTACGAGCAGCACATCAGTCTGAGCTGGAGAGAACCGACGCACAAGTACGGCATCATCCGACAATATGAGGTGAACTACAACTCCCATCATGCACCTGTGAACACCTGACACACTACAACTCCCATCAATGCACCTGTGAACACCTGACACACTACAACTCCCATCATGCACCTGTGAACACCTGACACACTACAACTCATGCACCTGACACACTACAACTCCCATCATGCACCTGTGAACACCTGACACACTACAACTCCCATCATGCACCTGTGATCACCTGACACACTGACACACACACACTACAACTCCCATCATGCACCTGTGATCACCTGACACACTACAACTCCCATCATGCACCTGTGAACACACTACAACTCGCACACACCTACACACTCAACCATCATGCACCTGTGACACACTGACACACCTGACAATGCACCTGTGATGACACACTGACAACACCTGCACCTGTGGATGACAGCACCTGAGGACGGACGAGGAACACCTGATCTGACGCGTTTGTGTGGTTGCAGATCTCGTACAAGGCCCTGAGCTCCTTCGACACGGAGTTCGATCTGACCAATCAGAGCGGGCGTGTGTTCAAACCGGCCAATGAGACGAGCCACCTGTTCACGGGGCTGTTTCCTGGCTCCACCTACTCCTTCACAATAAGAGCCTCCACAATAAAAGGCTTCGGAGCGCCGGCCACCACCCAGGTCACCACCCGCATCTCAGGTAAGCCCCGCCCCCACCCAGGTCACCACCCGCATCTCAGGTAAGCCCGCCCCCACCAGGTCACCACCCGCATCTCAGGTAAGCCCCGCCCCACCCAGGTCACCACCCGCATCTCAGGTAAGCCCCGCCCCCACCCAGGTCACCACCCGCATCTCAGGTAAACCCTGCCCCCGCCCAGGTAAGCCCCGCCCCCACCCATGCAC